AAGATGTTAATATGAATGTAAATGCTTAAATGATTATCCATAATCATGTATTTAAGGATGCTCTTTAGACCTTAATAAAGAGGAAGGACTACTAGATGTATCAAAGCCCTTCATTAATAACATCCACATGCTTTTTGTATATATATTTTCACCCGTTAACCATCAGGGCTAAATTGTGCATATACGCCCATTGCTCTCCCAACCTAGATGGTAACACCGTGTTCAACGCACAGGTTCTTACTAGTCGTAATACAATACAACGAATTTGATATGCATAGTGTACCAGTTTTTAGATGATTTTTGAAAGTTTAGAATTTCTTTTTTTTTTTAAAAAAAAGTCTAGACTTTTTTATTATTTTGATGGTAGGTCAAATATTATGAATAAATATGCTTTTTATGAAAATTTTCACTATTAGCAACTCTTTAAGTATACCATAATACTCGACCCTAGCTTGGTAGTTAACTAGAGATGGGTCCCGAAACCCAAACCTTCCTAAACCCTTTAGGTTTAAACTATAGTATTAGCTAGTTTTGAATATAAAATTTTTTGTCTAAATCCCAAACCCTATATCCTAAATTAAAACTCAAACCCCAAACTGATGCCGAAATCCCAAACTGCTTTCGAAATCCCAAACAATTCCTAAATCCCAAATCAATGCTAAAATCCGAAATCCCAAACTGATAACAAAATCCCAAACTGATGATGAAATCCCAAAATATAAAAAATTTTTATATATGAAACTAATAAAATATATATCTAGTATTTTGATATTGATTTGGGATTTTGGCACTAGTTTGGGATTTCGGCATTAGTTTAGGTTTCATGAAAATTGTGTTGGTTTAAAGGTTTGTCACTAGTTTGGAATTTAGACATTGGTTTGGGATTTCGGCATAGTTTAGGATTTCAGAACTGGTTTGGATTTCGGGATCAGTTTGAGATTTAGGAATTACAGCTGTTTTCATAAATTCTGGGACACCTAAAAAAATTTGCCAATGATAATTTTGGCCGAATTCAATAAGTTATTGATTTCGGTGTTACACAACAATATGTAATAATATGTACTACTACAATCGATTATCTAATTCTAAAATCTTTTAATTTGAAAATATGATACTTTCAAAACATATCCATTGGAAAATAGTTGAGAAGAACTTAGAAGGCCTGTCAGTACAAGTAATTGCTAAACACTTAGGTGTTAGCAGATCATCTGTGGGCCAAGTTCTAAAACATTTTTCAAAAGTATGGCTGTGTTGAAGAATTACCATCACTTTTAGGCCATTTGCGTTTATTAAATATTGATGATATCAAATACCTTAAAACTTTAATGAAAGAAAAACCTGATTGGTATTTGTATGAATTACAATCAGAAATGGAGCTTTGGTTGGGATACAGAATTGGTCTTACAACAATTTGGAGGGCTATACATAGACTTGGATATATGAATAAACAAGTAAGATTTTTTATATTATATGTTTATAAGTATATCGGTATATTATTATAAATATTTTAATTATATATAGATTGCTAAGCTCGCTAAAGAAAGAAATCAAAATGATAGAAATGACTTTGTTATATGAATGTCTCAATATACACCAAGTTAGTTAGTTTTTTCAGATGAATCTGCATATGATCGAAGGACATTATCACGTCATTATGGTTGAAGTTTCTCAGAATTACGTGCTCAGAAATATACATTTTTTGTTAGAGGAAAACAATTTACAATTGAAGGTGCTTTATGTATTAATGGTCTTTTGGCCTATAGTATTCAAGAAGGTTCTATGAATACTAGAGATTATGATGGATTTATTGAACATGTTTTAGTAAATAATTTTAATTTTGTATTTATTTTTAAAATTTGTAATTTATATAATATTAATAAATATTTTTGATTTAGTTACCAAAGATGAATGCATTTCCTGGGCAATATAGTTATTGGTTTTAGATAATGCTATTATATATAAAAGCACACATTTAGAAGATATATGTAGAGAAAAAGAAGTTAAATTGGTATTTTTACCTGCATATTCACCTGATTTTAATCCTGTAAGTACTATAATTTATAATAATTTTATAATAATTTATTATTAATACATTATTATATTTAAATAGATTAAACAAACTTTTTTTTACATAAAAAATTATTTATAGCAAAATAAAATTTGGGCTGAATCAATGCCTGATCCTTTAGAAGTTTTAGATCTTACTTGTATGATGATTAATAAAAAATTAGCATATGCATATTATCAACATTCTGGTTATATTCATTAATATTTATTAAATAAGCAAATAAATAAATATTTAAATAATTTTAATTATAAATTTATATGTAATTATATTTATTTTAATTTAAGCTAATTAATCAAATA